ATGTACATCGTGGGCATTCATTTGCCCTTCCTCTGGCTCCCAATGGTAGTTCCCTCTTCATCCCAGGCTTCACACTGGGCTGAACAGAGCCATGGAAAATGTTGCTGGCAACTACTTCAAGGATGGCTGTGAGATCAACTTGGGGCCATCCAGACATATCGAGAACCTTGGCTGAGTCCTGAGGATTAGGATCAGGAACTGTCCCGCTGACCCAGAGCCTATGGTGGGAACTGGTTGGAGGGAAGGTGCCCCAAGAACTAGAGAGAAAGAATCCATACTTGGAGCTCTGAATACAGATGCTGCTGAGGTTGGTTGGGGCTGGATTTTATTTTACCTACAACTGAAGAAATCTTAGCAGAAGTACCTGGCACTGTACACTGTTTGCCCCTGACCCCACTTATGCTCAAAGCAGGAGCTGTGGTCCCATGCCCCCAAATCTCTGTGAGATGGAGCTTTTGTTGCTGACTTGGGTGTGCACTGTATCCTCCACGTCCCCTGTAAACAGAACATACCTGCTCACTCCACCTGCCAAGTAGCTGGCTGGGGCTGGGTAGGAGCATGATGGGATACTTTCCCACTGTCCCACAAACCCCACACACATTCCTATGTCCCCCACAGCCATGACACCAACCAACTTCAAAAGTGGCCTTAGGTCCTCTCTGGCACTGTCTTGCCACCCCTTGGCAGATCCCACTGGCATGAGCTCGGGTAGTCAAGTCTGGGCCTGCAGTCACCAGCTGAGCAAAGGAGTCACCTGGCCCCAAAGCCTTCAGCCATGCCTTGAGGGGGCCATGCAAAAGCAGAACTGCACGGCCACCCAGTGCTTCGGGCACAGGTGGAATGCAGGCAGCCTGGGACCAACCCACCATACCAGGCTCTCCTGGGACCCACCAAGAGTCCCAATCAGTCACCTGAAAACCCCAAGAAACATGTTTCCATGCACGAGGAAATCAGGACTGCTGCCTGGAGACACTATTCTAGAATGGAAAAATAAGATTCAAAGTAGAAAAGCAAACTTAAATCACCCTTTTAAGGTCTTTCCTCTCCATGGCATACAGTGCTTTCAGAATTAGCATTAAGGAAAAAGAACAGACACGCCCCCCATTCTTTGGTTTTCTTTTTTTATTACATGAGAGGAAAACCCTAATTAAAAACATATTCTCTTTCTGTGGTCTCAACATATGACAGTCTCATAAGAGTAGAATAGTGCCCAAGTCATAACTGCCCACTATCTAAAGATTTTCCATTTTACCATGTTTCAAACAGTTTTTGGGACACCCATGTGCCCAGGACTGAGAAATGGCTGAGCAATCCCTAAGAATGCCAGTTGTCAATGGACTGTCTCCCTGGCATCCATATCCACACTCTGCTCTGGTAGGGGGCACACAGAAGACAGTCCACAATTCCCAGGGTCCTCTTCCCACAACATTTAGTTGGCAAATGCTTTGGGTCTTCTGGGCTGACCATTGAGCATGTTAAGCCAAGGTCTGTGGGTATGTGAAGACACTGTCCTTTCAAGCTGAGGAGAGCAGGGCTGAGATTCAAATCTTTTCTTGGAGATGGGTCTTCTGTTGAAAGACCAGTGCTTACAAACTTTGGGGGAACTGGCCTGAAAAGCCCCATCCCAGAGTAACCTGTGAAAGGCAGGTGTCTCTGTTTCTTCTCTGACACTCCACCTTTCATGGCACATCCTAACACACATAATGGGCAGTACATGGATTGCTCTGGCCAATTATATGCATTGAGGCTGGTGAAAGAGGCTGAGACATCTTCCAAGCAGAAGCTAGTATATAATTAGTAACCACCTCCTCACTGCTGTTCTTCCTCACATGTACACTTCTCAGAAGCATGAGAGGTCTGTGAGCTCCAATCTGTAGAGGGGGACAAGCCCTTAGAATGGGCCTCTGCTCTGGCAGGTAGGGGAAGCCCAGGCAGAAGATATGAGGCCCTGGGGCTCAGTCCATGGATGGCTCCTCCTCCTCTAAGATCCCTCCTCAGTGTGTGCACCTTACAAAGACAGAATTGTCCGCAGGTTGTGTGACTTGCCCTTGCCTCTCAAAGGAATACTTCTTGAAACAACTGATACTTTCCAGTGTGAAAGATCTTCTGTGATGAAGTCGTGAATTTGGGCCCAACTCCAAAGACCTCAACTCTTCCAGGGAAGCTTGGCAAGACTGGGGAACTCCAGGACACATGTCCCAGCCCCACTTGCCAGCAGCCTCATTAGGAAAATCCCTGCAGCTTCCCTGACTACTGGGTGCCCCAATCCTCCAACATCAGGACAACTTTCCCATTCCTGAGCAGCCTGTGGGGCCTCACATCTCCAGGTGATCTTCTCCAGAGTTCCCTCAAACACCCTGCATCCTGACAGGCAAGCCCACTGAGGCACAAATATGCTCATGGGAGAAGGCTAGACTCTCCCTTGCTCTGTAAATGGAGGCTACCTGGCATGCATGAGAGGTGCATCTACTTGGGGTCAGGCCCAAGAGACATATAAGAAAAAGAAAAAAGCAATAGTGGACTTTTGCTGACCTGTCAGGCACTATGCTAAGTGCTTTACATGTGCTCAATTACTCTCCACAGCAGCCTTGCACTGCAGGTACTATTATCCCCATTATACAGACAAGAGAACTAAGAGCCCAAGATCCTATAACTAATAAGTGACAAACCCAGAGGTCACATGTGGGCAGCTAGACTCCAAGGCCCTATGCTCTTTAATAAGGAGAGATGTAAAACCCAGGGCAAGGGAGGAGCACAGCAATGAAGGGCTGTTACAGCTCCACAGCATGGCTCCTTCTCCATCTGGGCACAGAGGACCCGCAGCTTGGCAGATAAATTTCCTACCAAGAAACATCCCTCTCTCCCCCACCATCTATGTGCATTCCCTCATCCTGGCCCTGCCCCATTTCAATGTGTGACATGCAACCAGTCCCTTACTCTCTCTGGAACAGGCTCCCATCTGGAAGATAAAACATTTGTAGAGGAAAGGTTACACAGGCGTTTCTACCTCCTGAAGCAGGTCCTTCAGTGCCAGACAACCTGCTGCTTCCAAGTTCACAATCCTCCTCTTCTTGGGCTCCAATGCCTCACGGCCCTGCACTCCCCTTTTTCCACCTGAGCGCAGGTTACTTCTGTCCTGACACCCTCTGATTGCTCCACCTGGGAGATCATGTTTGCCTGAAGACTGGCATGTCTTTCTCTTCTTTTCCCCAGGTGTCTGGTGGCTATGATCACTGATGGATTGTCAGCAGACCTGATGTGGGCCTCCACTTATTCTAGACAGCAATTTCTTTTCCCTCTTCATGAGCTACAGTAAGCCAGCAACCCAGCTTCAGTCATGCAGATGAGAACTGTGGTCTCCTGAGTGGTAGGGAACAGTGACCTCAGAAAGCAGAGCTTTCCTGCCAAGCTTGACTGGCTGGATTGTTATAGGCTTAAGGCCAATGGCTGTTTGGTTTCTTTACCACAGCAAGGTTCATACCAAGGCTATTTAGAAAGATCATCTCAGGAAGTAATGTCACTTCCAGCTCCACTGTCCCACTACAGACAGCTACCCCATGTCCAGCAGATCTCAGTCTGGCAGACGGTGGTCACCTTTTTACTGTTCCAGCCTTCTCCTTTGAGAGAAGAAAATCTGTGGCCACTTGGTGTCCTGGAGATTACTTCAGTCTGTATCCCAGAGCCAAGTCTTCCACTCATTTGATTAACCCAATATGCCAGGAGCTAAAGAGTTTCCCCACATCTTCCACTCCTATCTCAGATTCTCTTCTTAGATTGAAGAGATGGAAAGGGAGAGGGGCTGAGACGGCCTTAGCAGCTTTCTGATAAGGAAAGCAAACTAAATGCACACCCCACTGGCAAAGGGCTGTGCCAGCCTCTGAAGGCAAGGGCATCATCAGGCTCCTGTAGGTGCACCCCAAAGATGCAAGGGAAGGGCTATGAGTGACCAATAAGTGCCCTATGTGTTACTCACAGGCACAGCAAACACATACAACCATGTCAGGCTAGGAACAATGGCTCCCAGAAAAACCTGAATGGCATAACAGGTGCCTGGGAGTCTTTACAAATGCTGTGAGTATAACTGAGCTATAACTGAGAGTAAGCAGGCCCAGAGCCACTCCCACCCCCAACAAACAAACCAACTCCTGGCTATAACTCAGCAGTCCCCAGATCAATCAGTGACTAGAAATTACGAGATGAAGCTTTGCTATCATTCCAAAAATATTCCTCTCCCAAAATACACACACACACACACGCACACACACACACACACATAAACAACTCCCAGATGTCTAAGGCCCATGGGGAGGCTGGGAGCATCAGACAGTAAAGAGGGCAGCTGAGGCTCAGCCCCCAGCAAACCCTATAGCTTGGACAGATGCAAACAAAGGCAGATGCTCACAAGAGCCTAGGGACAGCCTTGAGAACCATGCCCATTTCACTGCCTGAGTGCCCCGTCAAGAGCAATGGCATTTTTTCCAAGTCCACAGGGACATTTAGAAAATTAATTAGATGAACCCGGCAGTCCTTGAGGCTCCCCAGGGAACTGGGTAAATACATCAAGCATGTCACCAAGTTCTTAAGCAGTGTACTCTGGGCCATCTTTGTTCAGTGCTGTGTAGGACTGCAGAGTCAGACAAGCTGAACCCCCTCAAGTGTAGCCCAGATCTTGGCAGCTCAAGAGCAGCCAGCTCCCTGCTATTGTGATCAGACCACCAGGGCCTTGGTCCCAATGCCATCTGCTGTCAGTCACAACGTGTGACTTGGACAGCAGGTGGCAGGCAGCAAAGCAGATGCTTCAGACTGTCCACTTCTTATCATGGCCTCAGGAAGTCCAGTTTCAAGGGTCCCTCATTCTGGAGGCCTGGCTGGCCCTGCAGGCCTAGAGAGGCTCTTCTGCCACTGAAAATGTGTTAGTGCCCCTGAATTTTATCATTTGTTGCCTTGTTTGGGCTCACATTTTAAAATATCATTTATTGAGCACTGGGTATGTGATGGTATTGTAGTAAGTGCTTTACATACATTATTTGACTTCATTCTCAAATATAGCATGGTTATATCCATTTCAGAGGAGGGATTGGCATCTTGGCATAATAACATGTGTCAAACAATGTGTGTGCCCTGTCTTTCCATCCTTTTTCTTTCCAAGGGACTATATCCTCTCATACTAGATTACAAGTGCCTTCGTGGCACTAGAGATATTTACACTTTCTTCTGCCCCTAATAAGGACCTGGTGCACTTTCAGTAGATTGATGGCACAGTGACTACCATGTGACCTTAATTAACCCCAAGGTGGCATCAATGAATAAAAATATGGTCAGCCATGTGGCCAGTTATCATATGATATGAATTCCTGTCGATGTTGTGCAGTAAGTTGATTACCAAGGCAAGTCCATGCTTGAGTCGATCAGTTATCAAGAAACTTTACCAAGATATGCTGCCTTCGTTCCCATCAGCAACAGCTGAGGCACTGAAACTCTTCGGAAACAATGTGCTGTTGGACTTAAGATCACCCAGAACGTGCAGTGGGGCCAACCCAGGTGGTCTTGCTGAGAATGGCCGAGCTAATCACCAGCCAAAGCCTAGGACTCACAGAGGGCAGAGAGAGGTTCTGTTGGCTCCAGGGAATGTGAAGCCCGAGGGAGAAGCACACAGGCCTCACCTTTGGTAGCGTAGGCTTCCGCGATCATTCGCAGTCTATACGGAGGGACAGCTGTCAGAGGCAAGTCATCAAGGCCCACGCGGGCATAAATGTTCAGCGCTTCCTTATAATCCCCTTCCACATAATTCAACTTGGCCATGATCAGATTGGATTCTTGTAGGAATTCTGACTAGAAGGAAAAGGAGAGAAAAACATTTTCCTACAATATTAGGTGTGATACTCCCTCAGGGCCCAGCTCTCTGCTGCCTTCACAGCTCCCCACAAGAAAATGTGTACGTGAATGCTCATAGCAGTATCAGTCACAATGACCAGAAACGGCAAGCAACCCAATCTCCATCAAAATGTGATCCAGTTCTAAGATGGAATATTACTCAGTCATAATAAGAAATGTATTGATACATGTTACATCACGGACGAACCCTCCAAACATTATACTAAGTGAAAAGGCCACATATGACCATTTATATGAAATGTCTAGAAGAGACTAATCAAGAGTCACAAAGGAAATTAGCGTGTGTCTGGGGCTGGGGGCTGAGGAAATAGGAGTTTCTTTTTAGGGTGATGAAAACGTTCTAGGACTGGTCATAGTGACAGCATACAACTTCATGAGTGTACTAAAGCCACTGAATTGTACACTTAAAATGGATGAATTGTACAGCTTGTGGCTTACAACTCAACAAACAACAAAACAAAACCCCAGCAGCTCCCCTCGGGGCCCTAGGCCGGGCTGGACCCAGCACAGAAGGAATGCTTTCCAAGTAACACAAGAACAGCGTGTCAAAAGAGGGAGCTGCCCCCGCACATCCCAGTGGGTCCTGCCTGAGGCTCTGGGATGCACCACAAGACTGGAACCCAATACCGTGAGGAGTGGTTTCGTACACAGGTGCAGAGTTGGGGCTTGCTTTCTTGCCTTCTTGCCAGGGGCAAACCCTTCTCACTAATCTGTTCAAGCTGTGAAGCTGGTTACTGCCTAGGGTTCCCTTCCTGAGGCTAAGGATTGTGGCAGCTTGAGGGATCACTCTCCTCGCCATTCTCCAGTCCACCCACCAGCCTTGTCGTCAGCTGAAGAAAGAAGAGCCAAGAGTGCCCCGGCCAGCTAGATGAAGAGACAGATCCATCACTCCCAGGTCTTCTTCTCAGAGGAAGCAACCCAAGCCTGGATCAACAAGAAGCAATCGTGAAGCTGCACCACTCTGTAACCTGCAGCTTTGAAGGGTAGATGACAAGACACAGGTGACCAAGCAGAGCATGGCAGAGTAGCCATGCAGACCAATACGGTCAGTTTTCAGGCATGCCTCTGAGTGGAGCAGGGTCACCAGGCAGCCCTTGGGAGGATGAGAGGATGGGTAATGAAATCTGAAGGCAGCAAAAAGGTTTTAGGAGTGGCGCGAGGGAGAGGCACCTATACAGAAATTAGAATTGCATTGGAGACCAACTTGAGAGGGGAGAAAAGGAGTTATGAAGAAAGTTGTGCTACAGGGCTCTCTGTTTGCTCAGGGACAGGCTGGGCTTGGGCACTGGGAAAGCTGAAAGGTTTCCTATGAGATCCAGCCACATATCCCTCCCTCCACGGATCTCCGGGAGTCAGTGTTAATGGAGATGGAGGTTCAGTCTGGTAAGAGGAAAAAGTTCTGAAGATAGGTGGTAGAGATGATTGACAACAATGTCAATGTACTTAGTGCCACTAAAAAATGACCAAGCCTAAAAATGGCTACTTCTAGCTACTTGGGAGGCTGAGATCAGGAGGATGGCGGCTCGAGGCCAGCCTGAAAAAAAGAGTTCACAAGAACCCATCTCCAAAAGAAGCAGAGCAAAATGGACTAGAGGTGTGACTCAAGGGGTACAGCACTTTGCAAGTGTGAAGCTGTGGCAAACCTCAGATCCACCCCCCCAAAAAATGGCTAAGATGATAAATAGTTTTATGCTACGTGCATTTTACAAGGAAAAATAGTTTTAAAAATAAAGGAAATTGAAGAGACAGATGGCTAATTAGCTTGGAGGAAATTACAAGTCCAGAGAGACACAGGATGGGACGCCCTGCAAGGGCCTTGCTGGGAGAGTCCATCTACAGCATTGTACAGGAAGGAAACAGCTTAGCCAAGGCCCAGGTCACTTGGTTGCGAAGGTGGAAAGAGAACAGCTCCAAAACAGAGCCGGTGGCTGCCTTGCTTATGAGAAGTACAATTTTCCTATCTTAAATCAGAAGCCGTCTGGGACTCTTCTATCACCCCTCAATGCTGGCTTACTCTGCCCTTTCCAGATTCGGTTCACTTGAAATACGATGGACTTATGGTCAAGTAAAGAGAAAATTTCATGTTAGCCAGTGTGAATGTGGCAACACATCCAAGCAAAAGTTGTGCTTTTGGAACATTCTTTATAAGGTGGAGGAGGTAAAAAAATAGCACTGGGCGAAAAACTTATGTAGAAGAAAAAATTAGCAAAAAATAGCATGTCTAATGTGGTGCAGCTTTAAAGAACTTCCACATTTGAGATTCAGAACAATCCGTTAGGCAAACAGTAGAGAAATATGAAGCTCAGAGAGGTTAGGTAACTTCCCAAGATCACACAGCTTAAAACCCAGAATTGGGATTCGGACTCTAAAATTTTAACTTGAAATTCAATGTTCTTACTACCACATCAGGTTGTAAAGGAAGGAAAGCAGAGACTGGCAAAATAAATGGCTAATTTTTCAAGATGAAGGTACGGGGTTAGGAGTGGGAAAGAAATGAGTTAGATGTCTCCCTTAACACACAGTCACCACCGCCTCATACCTCCTGGTAAGACACTTGGGTCTGATTGACAGTCACTCTGAGCTGTGACCCCTGGGCCCACTGTCCTGCTCCCCTCTCCTGCTGCCCCAGACCCACCACCAGGGTCATGAGTAGCATCTTGGTTAAGAACAGCTGACATGCAGGCAATAACAGCTCTGCTCCCTAACTCTGAACCAAGGGGTGCCTGGTGCTTAGGAAGAAACCAAGCAAAGGCAAAGACCTGGTTATCAAGGCCCCCAAATAGCAGTGAGTCCTTATCACCCGGGCTTCCCATGTGACAGTAATGCCCTGGAGCAGCCTCCAGAACTGTTTCCACAGCAGACACACACAGACTGTTCATTTTAGAAGGGTTTCCAGAAGCCTGCTGCTATACCACCAACAGGCTAATGGAGTCCAGTGTTGCTCAAGCCCTCAAGTGCAACTGGGCCAAGGAGGTGGCCAGATAACAAAGAGGAAGAATATCTTAGAATAAAGGGTCATAGCTTGGAGCATACAGAAGCTGGGAGGGTCCAAGTTCACCTCTCCAAGAGTCCAACCCTAAAGAAACTGAGCCCTAGAGAAAAAAGTGACCTCCCCAGAGTCACAGGACAAGTTGGGAGCAGGCACAGGTTTCCAAAACAGATGTAAAAGGTAAAGCCAAGAAAATCTGGCTTCTGATGGAGGAGGAGAATGTACACAGACAGACAAGAATAAAGGCCAGAAGTAGCCCCAGAGGATTCTGAGTCACAAAGAGAAAAAAAATGAAAGTAACTTATCAGTTAAAAGGAAAAGAAGTCAGAGTTCCAGAAGTTCACCAAAGAATAACCATCCTCAGAGGAAAACACATACTGGGAAGAAAAGGGGCTCTGAAGAAGATAGGTCTGGAAACCTGTCAGTTGTTTTAATGACAGATGGTGACTTTAGAAAGCAGTAAGGGCCAGACCTCAGTGGTGGAAAGTGTCCAGGGGTGGGAAGTGCCCAGAGCAGGAAGTATGAACTACAGGGTGGGGAAGAGGGCCAGGGCAAGTGAAGGAGAGATGGTCCCTGTGAAAGGCAAGAGGAGTTGGAAAGAGTGTCACAAGAAGCAAGGAGGGAGAGGCAAGGGAGACAGGAAGGGCACTGAGTAAGTGGAGACCAGAAAACACAGCAGATAAACAGACAGGCAGCACCTGAGGTATCCTAAGCCTGCAGATGAGGGTCCTGGCTCAAGCGGAGGGAAGTTCCTGGTTCTCTCCCACACTGAGGCAGTGCCAGGCCTGTTGGCACCAGCTCTGGGCCACAGCGCCTGTGACATTCATGAGCCACATGACCGAGGCAGGAAACTGTGCATTAATGACCCTCCTGACTGACTTCTCTTTTCTACAGCAGGGCAAAGTGTCAGGTTGAGCCCTTGTTCAGGAGGATGTGTCACTGAAAATAGAGGTCCCTAGTGGGCTCCAGTCCTGCAGGCAGTCAGCCAGCCTAGGGGTTGATGCACAATTGGTCATGGAACAGCCTGCTGATGACAAGTACCAGCAGTGTGCAGAAGAACTCCAAACATGGCATGGTTCGTCCCTGGGCATCTTTCCCAACTCTGTATCATCCATGGAGATAATGCCAGCATCCCCCATAGTCCTCGCTTTGTCACAGAGGCCCACAGTACCTTGAGGTTCCCTCGGTCCAGGGCAGCAGTCAGGTGCTTGCGGACCTCAGTCAGCTGGGGCCTGGGGCCTCGGGGGCTGGCCCCCTGCCTCAGGGGGTGGCCCTTCAGATGCTGCTCCAGCTTTGCCTCCCCAAGGAGGAGCTCTGCCATGTCATCTGCAAAACAGAGGGAGACACTAAACAGGGGCCCGAATGGTCTGGGAACTAGCACCACCAAGGACCTTGGGACGCCCCACCCCATGCCCTAGGCTCCAGGCCACTCTGCAACCTCGTAACCTTAGATTGAGTCTAAGTGAGCACCGCCGTCCGGAGAGCCCTGTTCCCTAGTAAAGTTTATCAGCAGAGCTGGCACTCTTTGTCACACATTTACTGACTCCAAAAAGTGGGTATGTATTACCATGAGGAGTGTTCAACTTCAGTAGGGAGAAATAAAACTGCCTTGGGGTAGTAAGACACAGTACAATCATGGGAAGTACACACAGAACCCAGTATGGCATATTTCCAAGAGAGGAGCAGTGAGTTCTCCTGGCTCTTCTGAAGTCTGTGGCCTTGCACGTGGATGGGAGCCCACGGAACATGTTTGTGTTGAGATGACCCGAATGCTGGCAGTCTTCCCTCCAGAAGTCAACCCCATAGGAGCTGACTGGGATGCTCCTGGGAAGTGTCTACTCCTGAGTGTATGCATTGCAGAGTAGTTGTGACTTTGTTGGTGTCTAGGCTAGCTTGGTAATTTGCATAGAAAGCTCACTCCAGGAGCCACCCTTTGGTTCTCACATCCACCCCATTCTGAAAGAACCCAAAACAATTCATACACCAGTCTGAGCGTGGTCTACTTTCCTGTATAAAACTAAAAATTGGTTTTAAAAGATCTAGAAAGGTATGTCTCAAACCCAGTTATTGCTGGTGAGCAGGGCGGGGGTTGGGGGGTGGGATACTCACCTGGGACTAGTGGTCAAAATGGACTTCAGCATTATCTCTATTTACATGCTGGTCCTACAAAGGACAGCTGCTTTGCCTAATGTGTGTGCAATTTACAACTAATTCAAACAGTAATCACCAAAGACACACTGAGGCTCTGGGTGCTCAGCCCACCAAACACTACGACAGCCCTTTCCATGTCTCTGCTTCAGCCCGCACAAACTGCTGGGTCTAGAGGAATTAGCACTGCTCCGTCTGGGTCCTGGAAAGCTAAAATAATTTCTCAGAGATGACAACTAGAGTCCTGGGAGGACCCAACTAACACCAGAACTGGGTCACGTCAGGTTAGTGAGAACAAGAATTCTTTAGGTGTTCACAAAGAGAAGGCTCATTCCCCACAGCTGGAAAGGAAATCAGGTGGCCCACAGCAGCGTCCAATGCTAGGGGACAATGCCTATATAGACAACAGAGAGACATGGGTGTAGCTCACACACATGGGACCAGTCGAAACGTGGCAAGTAGGAAAGCAACAAGCAGGATTCCTGGAAACAAGAACCCTTCATGAGAAAGGAAGTCTGTCCTCTTCATGTGAGATTTTCCAAAGTCAGTGTGTGTTTCGCACTGATGGTACATCTCAATTCAAGCCTGCCATACTGCAAGTGGTCAGTAGCTACCCATGGCTACTGGCTATTATATTGGAACCAAATGTAATCACTGTTTATAGAAGAATGTCTAAATATTTATCTATATCTGTTATGACCCTATAAAGATATCTAAAATAATTATCACCTAATGTAAACAAGAGAAATTTCTGAATAGAATTTGAGTATTTTTAATATTTTTATCTTTATAGCTTGAATTATATGTATTGAGCAGAAACTTTTTGTTCACTTGGTTTTAATTTTGTTTTGTTTTCTGAGACAGGGTCTCACCATGTAGCACAGGCTGGCCTTGAATCTTCCCTCTTCCTATCTCAGCCTCTCAGGAGCCGGGATTGCAGGTGTACCACCATAGCAGCCTGAGTAGAGTCATTTTACATTATTTCTAGAAAAAAACTGTAACTCTTCCTTAAAAGCTGGAGTTTCTATGTCAAAACAATTTTTGGTTATTTCTAAGTGGTAAAATTATCAATCTATGCTGAACTTTTTCTAAATATTTTAAATTTCCAACAAAATAAACTAGAACAAGCAAATCTGAGTCCTAGGTATAAATACCAGCTTCTCACTATATGAGGATAGCCCAGTGACTTAGCTTCAGCATTTTGAGGACAATTCTAAGAAAGCACCTCTGTCTTCCTGAGCTGAAGATTCCTCCCACTACTTCCCATGTTCTCACCTTCCACCTGCCCCTTCACTGCAAGACCCCTTTGGCTCACATCTGGAAATGGCTACCCAGGAGACACAGGACAGATTAGGACCCTTGCTACCTGTTCTCCTGTGGGACTGGAGCACACTATTTACCCTCTGGGACCTCAACCCCCACTAACAAACCATGAGCCATTGGACTGTGGACTGGAGCTAGTGGGTTTCCAGAGGGAAATGTGGTGACCCAGTGAGCACACCTGGGCCTTACAGGAGGAGAATGGCCTGGCTGCAAACACAGGGGAAGAGAGCCCAAAGCAAGGCTGGAAAATCAAACTGGGATCAGAATGGAGAGACAAAGGATGATGCTCCCTAGGCGTGGAAAACAGGCCCAGCCACATTCCCGCACATGCTGGCTGGCTCACTGCCCTGAGCCTCAGGTACTTGGGTATCCAGGGGACTCCATTCACCATTATTCAATAAACATCTACCAGGGCACTGATGACCTCTCCTGTCTTGTGCCCTAGGCAGCACCCCCACTGCCCTAGGAACCCACACACCCTAGCCTGGGCCTTTGTTTATCCATCTGCCCTTTCTAAAAGAAGGAAGCCGGAAGGAAGGACCTGTTAGTCCCTTCTGAATCCCAGGCTGAGCACAATGTCTGGCACAGAGTCAGCCCAATAAATAGTGGATTAGTCCAATGACAGTCCATCCTCCAGGGTTAGACCTGTGGCCGTCTGCTCACTGTCCTGAATGAATATTTATTCCCATACAGCTACCCAGCTAAAGCCTCTGGCTCCAGGCTTCCAGGTAGTAGATGCTGCAGGTGACTATGATGTGGCCACTGGGACATGAACAGGGCATCCTTTTGGGGAGTAGAATAGCCCTCCAGGTCCTCTCCAGTCTACCCCCAAGCTGGAATGAGTCTTGGGCTGTAGGATGGAAAGTACACTGAGATGGCAGAGCAGTGTGACATAGAAGCCTCGGTCCCCCACACCCCAGAGCTGCCCCGAGCCCTACACTGCCTATCCCCAGTTATCATACATGTGAAACATTAACTTCTCTCTTGCTCTGCTGAAGTCACTGCTATCCTGACCGCTGTTACAGAGGCCACAGGGGTGTCCTAACCCGATCTCCCAAGGCAGAAACAGACAGACACCTAATGTCTTGAAAACATTAGGAGGCTGAGACTATAACTCTCTTCATCTTATACAGAACCAGGCACTGAGTCAATTCATCCTAGAGCTGGGACAAGACCCCAGGTCGCCTCCCAACCCCATCTATCCAGTACGCCAGGCACAAACCACCTGACACTGGTGTCCAGAAGCAGCCCAGCTTCCCTCCCAATGAGCTGCGTGACCCTGAACAAACCACTGACATCATCTGCTACAGGGGCTGGGCAGGTGTTTTGGGGTCCCCTTCTTGCTCTCTGTGTGAGAACTCTCAGGGGCCAGAGCGAGGAGGGGCCTGGGGTACCCAGGATAGCCTTGCCTTTCCCACTGGCACTTTTCAGGGTTAAACAAGGCTGGAGGAACCAGGTGACCAGTGACTTATGCAGAGCTAGAGCCTGAGGAGACAGAGGCCACCAGCGAGAACCCACGCCTAGGTAAGTGCACGTGTTATTTGGCTCTCTACAGGCAATTCCATGAGCTGGCACGCCTGGCCTCCCTGGTCTCCCGGGGAAGGTAGGCTGTAGCCTTTGCCTTCTGAAGTGACTGCCCTTCCTCATGGTGTCTCCCTAGCAGGATAAACAGCTGACATGCAGATATTTGATTAAATGAGGGGAAAAAAACCTATAAGGTTTCTTCGCTGCTCTTAGGAGTACTTGAGGCCAACAAAACAATCTCAACCACTTGGTTCGTTTGTCAGTGAGAAGCACTTAGATCTATTCAAGCCATTCCTCCTGCGGATGCCATCCAAGAGGAAGAGACAAATCCCCATTCAAGCAGGAACTGGTTCTTCAGCCTGCCCTTTGTCACATGGTGAAGACAGCCAGACTGTCATTTTGCAAGTCTCACGAGGAGTCCCCTTGCTTATTTGGCTTCTTGTATGTCCCAGGTAACTTAGCAGTCACAGGACTTGAGTGCAGAGTGCCAGTCATACAGTGTTGGAGGGAGTACAGATCAGCAGACATGTCCCCAGGGGGCAGCCTGTCAATTTCTATACAATGTTTATATACCTGGACACCTGACCTAGAGATTTCAGTTCCAGGCATGTGTCCCATAGATACCTGCACCCTGAAGCACAGATTCATAAGTAAACAGACACTTGTTACACAAAGCTCTACTGGTAACAGTGTCAAAAAGAGATGGAAAATAACCTGCAGTGTCCTTAAAAGGGGACCTGTCCAATGAAATAAGGTCTGTCCCAATGCAACAGGACACAGTGTATCCATTAAACAAATGGGGTAGATCTAAACACAACTCCATGGTAGCCTGAATGCAGAAATGGCCCCAGACTTCACCCCTCCTGAGGCCCCATGTTCTGAGGCCTCACACCCTGCACCTCAAGGTGGCTGCACTGACAGCACAGTAGCAACTCTGATGCATGCAGAGGCTTGGAAAGGGGTGATTTCTCTCCCCTTCCCTCTTCCTCTCTGTGGCTACCATGGGACATGCTTGCCAAGCCAAGCCACTGGAGGATAAAGGCCATGTGAAGGGATCTGAGTTATCCACATACATCTGAGAGTAACACACACACACATACGAGAGGCCAGCCAAGAGCAACAAAGTCATTAGGCTGAGTCCAATGGGCCACGAATGTATGAGTGAGCCCTGGTAACCGCAGAATCATGACAAATAGTTAAAGGTGGTTGTTGTAAGGCACTAAATTTTGGGCTGTTTTGTTATACAGCAATACCTAACAATCTCAAAGACAGAAGGTAAAAAAAAGCAAACACAGAAGAGGGTGTATAGAATGTCATTATTGAGTATAAAA